AGTGTTATTATTACATAAGTTAGTGTCTAAAGACCATATAGGTGACATCCAGCCGGCATCTGCAGGCACTATTGCTTCAAACACAGGACCAATTTCTCCAGGTAATGTTTCCTGATATAATCTCTTGCTTGATTTAATTCTGTTACCATAATTATAGATGATGAGGAGAGCAAATCAGGTGGAGAAGTTCTACGAGAAAACTTCGATACACTTTCTGACATCCTGGCAGCTCCAAATAATCTTTCAGCGATCATCATGAGCTTATATGCAAAAAAGCTAATTTCTGATACAACTACAACTGAGTGTATGAATGATGGCAGACAAGTTCAAGATAGATGTGCTTCATTACTGTTTGCTCTCAAAGCTACCATTGATGGGAAACCTCAGGCAATGAATACTTTAATTGAAGCATTGAAAAATAATGAAGCATTTAAAGAAATTGCTCATAAAATGGACTTGGAAGTATCATACCGCAATTATACAAACCCTTAGGGATTTAGTTTCAGCTCGGTTAATAATACTGTTTGTAGTTTTTGTGGTTTTAATTTTTTCAATGTCTTTTTGGGTATTATGTTAGTAAATTGTAGAACTGTTAGTAAACTGAAAGGTCACTATAAAGCAGTGTTACTTGTATTGATAGTGATATTGAAGTATGCACTGATAGTACTGATAATACTGTACTTATATGGACTCCTGTAAATACCACTATTGAGGTAAGTATTCATTTGGTACGTGGGTGTTAGCACAAGGTGCTAACAATATACGTGGGCGTTAGCTGCAGAGTACAGTATTTTTACTGTTGTTGGCTTATTTTATTCTGAAGGTGCATGATTATAATATTTTATTATTAGGTTAATACAGTATCAAAGTCTTATCAAAACAATCGGTAGTTTATCATGACACTTGGAGTGATGAAGATTGACTATCATCAGTTGTACAGTAATATATACTATACTATATCCCAGTTCAGTTTGGGACGGAAGTGGAAGCAGCTGCGTGGAATTTGAAAAATGTATCTACGTCACAAAATGACGTATTTTAATGATATTCATAGAAGTATGGCGGCTGTGTTGTTTCACTCTTAAAACAGTCTTGTTCTTCATGATAAGCAGTACAATAGCTACTGGAGTCATCTAGTCTTCATAAAGGCCATCATTATCAGAAGATCTTGCTCTGTTAGCTTTTTAAAACAAGAATTATCAGTTTGGGCGCTCGACCACATATGTTCTTATGTAAACTATGACGTGATAATTTGTCATAAAACGTCATTTTGGTATGCCATTGGGTTTATAGGGAGAACCCGGTTCTCAGGGTTCCCAAGAGTTGAGA